TCATCTTCTGTAGATGACGAAGATCTGGTTCTTCTGACTCTGAATGGTCTACCAGATGAATATGATGCCTTTAAAACAGCAATTCCTGCTAGAGTTGAATCTATTTCTATGGATGATTTGAGTTCTTTGTTATGTTCTGAGACTATTCATATAGAAAGCAAGACAAAGGCTGCTCTTGGTACTGATGCTACGGTTGCCTATTCTGTCAAAAAGAGTAACGAGTCTAGTTCCTTTAGAGGATCTTTCTCAAATTACAGAGGAAGACATTCATTCCGTGGTGGAAGAGAAGGAAGATCTCAAGGAGGTCGATATACTAGAGGCTCAAGAGGAAGATTTGGCCAAGGAAACCAGGAGCATTATAAGTGCCAAATCTGTGGTGGTTACAGTCATATAGCCATTGATTGTTGGTTTCAAATGGATCTCAACTATTAACCATCTCAATCTTCTTCTTCATCTCAATTTCCTTATTCTTTTAATATGCCTCCATCAAGAGCTTATTCTGCTGTGAATTCCTAATCTTCTTCTCCTTCAACTCCTTCTACACCACGGTATGTTGACTCTGTAGCCACAAACCACATCACCAATGATTTAGGTAACTTTCATCTTTATCAACCCTATCAAGGATCTGATCAAGTCACTGTTGGCAATGGTCAGACTTTGCCCATTCAACACACTGGTAAGGGCATTTTACCAACTCCTCAACATTCTTTTCATCTTCAAAATATGCTTCATGTTCCTCATATCTCTTCTAATCTGTTATCTGTGCATATATTGACTAAAGATAACAATTGTTCAGTTGTGTTTGATGCTAACTCATTTCTGATTCAGGACAAGCACACGAACCAGGTGCTCCATAAAGGCCCTAACATTCATGGTCTCTATCAATTTGCATCATCTTCTCATTCCTTTTCACAAGCTCATCTCACCACCTCTCAATGCTCAGTTTTTTTACCTACATGGCATCCAAGGCTGGGTCATCCATCACCCTTGAAATTCAAGCATATAGCTTAGCATTTACCTGTTTCTTTTAAGAATAAGTGTACTGAATATTCGTGTACACCTTGTAATGTTTCAAAAATTCATAAGCTTTCTTTTAAGCTTTCTAGTTCCATTGTTGCTAAGCCTTTTTCTCTTGTACACAGTGATTTCTGGGGTCCTTTTCATGCCTCTACATGTGGTTATAAGTACTATTTTTTGTTTGTTGATGATTTCACAAGATTCACATGGATTTATCCTTTGCATGTCAAGAGTGAAGTTTATTCTACTTTTGTTTCTTTCAAAGTGTATGCTGAAACACAATTTGGTCTTTCTCTTCAAGTGTTCCGCTCAGATAATGGTACTGAATTTGTTAATCATAAAATGACTGACTATTTGCTCTCTCATGGCATTGTTCACTAGCTCAGTTGTCTCTATACTCCTGAGCAAAATGGGATTGCTGAGAGAAAACATCAACATATTAGAGAAACTGCTATTGCTTTACTTTCTCAGTCTTTTGTTCCTCTAGAGTACTGGTTTGAAGCCATGGCCACAACAGTGTTTCTCATTAACAGAATGCCAAGCCTTTTTCCCGGTCATAAATCTCATTTTCAGCTTTTTTTTCACATCATTCCTGATTACACTTTTCTTAAGGTCTTTGGTTGTGAGTGTTTTCCTTGGTTACGGCTTTATACCTCTCATAAACTTCAACCTCGATCCACTTCATGTGTTTTCATTGGCTATCATCCAGCTACTTGTGACAACCCTCACCACTGTTTATTGATAATACCACTGATTACTGCTAAACTGTGACTGAACATGATTAAGTAACTGATTTGACTGACATTCTGAACTGATTGATTGAGTGTATTAGTTTAAATGCATTTCTATCTGTTTGACTGTTAATTGATCTGTTCATGTTTTAAGTTTAAACTGTAAATTGTTCATGTTTTAAGTTTAAACTGTAAATTGAAGGCCTTATCGGCGGCCGAATCTGAAATTGATTGGTATTTTGTGTTAATTAGAATTTATGTGATTTTATGGTATGTTTAATCAAAATTTGATTTGGTATAATTAAATTTTTGATTTGGTATAATTAAATTGGATTAAATAATGTTGAATTAGACTAGTTATGTTTATTACTCTTTTGCCACTTAGTGGATTATTCTAGGACCATTTAGTTGACTCATATATGTTAGCTTTAGCACCTCTCCAGCCTTATTCAAGACCCAAAACCGAGAGAAAGAGAGAGTGTCTTGGGAGAGAATCGATTCATCTTGAAATCTTGGCTTGAAATTTAGAGGAATTGAAGGATAATAGCAAATTGAGCTACCATTCTTGAAATTGAGGACCTAAGGTAGGAGAATCATATTCTTGAACTTGTATTTAAGTTGTATCTTACATGTTTCATGGAAGTTTGGTGATTAGAGTCTAGAATTGGTTCAAAATGTTGAATTGAAGCTTAAATCATGCATGCATGTACATGTTCTAGCATTTTGAGGTTATTTTCATGGAAATTGCTACATGCATGTTCATATTCTAGCTTTAGTCCATGAATTCAGCATGTTTTTTGAAGGATTGACACATTTGTTATTGTATTAGAAGCTTTGAAGTTGATTAAATTCATGCATGTTACATGTACATCATGTTCTTGAAGTTTTGTTTGGAAATGGGTTCAATTGAACTACCTTTGGGCTTTGATTTTGCAAATTGATCTTTGAAACATGTCATATTATGAGTTTTAAAGTGTTTTTCAAAAAATTAGCCCAAAAGGATTGATTTTGATGCTTTAAATGTTGAGTTTCATGCTTGGAGACAAATTTGGAAATTCCAGATTTTGGATCCACGCTCAAGCGGGGAACTCCACACTCGAGCGTACACTCTGAGTTCATGCAGTCTGCTCGAGCGGGTAAAGTAACGCTCGAGCATAAAATGCGTGTATCCAGTACTTTGCATGTTTTTACAGTCTGCTCGAGCGAGGGAATGCACGCTTGAGCGAGGACTTGTGTCTCACGCTCGAGCGGAGGTTAAGCGCCCATCGAGCATGAATTGCATGCATCCAGTACTTTTCCCTGAGTTTGCAGTCCGCTCGAGCGGGGAAAGTCACGCTCGAGCGGAGATCTTTTGTTTGCATGTCCGCTCGAGCGTAGAAAGACACGTTCGAGCGAGACCCCTGTTTTCTGAAAATTTGAAAAGTGTTTTAAAGTGCATCTTTGCATCCTTATTCCATCCTAGGCATTCCTAGGCCTAGTTTAAGGCATCTTAATGAGGATATTGATGTAGAACTACACCGAGTCAAGTTAGGGACTAAGTCATTGTTTCCCAAACGTGTAACTTAGTGTGTGTTCATCCTGTAACTGTGTAGGGTTGGCATCCGAGGACACTCACTAGCCTATCTGTAGCTTAGAACTTTGTGAGTAACAATGTTGTAAAGATATATTCAATCATGAGTATTTTCTGAATGACCAACTGTACTACATTCTGAAATGATATTTCTTACTGAATAAATGTTTGTCCTATTTGCGAACTATATTCGTGGCATCCATAGCAATTTACTGTTACTGTACTGTTACTGCTACTGTTACAGAGATCTCTGTCGGTTCCCATGTTGGAACCACTATTGTTTACTGATATGATGCATCAACTGACTGTTCGGTCTGTTAAGACCTACTGTACTGTTTTGCTATAGGATGTACCACATATGACTGCTATGATTGAATGACTGATATACTGTTATAACTGACTGTTTTAAATACTGAAAGGACATTCATTCTTAACCTCTTTACGCATATGTTATTCACTGGGCTTTAGCTCACTGTTTATATATATATATGTAGGTGTCTAGGCACCGGATCGAAGCTAGGAGCGTTGGGTTTAACTCCTTTTTTGTCAAGCCAACCACTGTGCCTCACTGAGAGGTTCCAAGTCCTTCAAGCTAGGGCTTTTTGGGGTGTTTTAGATTCATCCTTTTTATCTCTGTTTTTGTATAGACTGACTGTACCTGTACTGTACTGTTCTAATAGGGATTAGGTCCCTGTCTTGGATGATTGTATATGTATGTATATACTGTTTTGGTTCTGAATGTGAATATGTATGAAAAGTTTTTTTTTGCATACAGACTGTCACAGCTCATTGGACATCTTTTATTACTGTTTTAGCTTCCGCCAGCCCCTGTACTCCGTATTACTGTTATTACTGTTAAGCAGGCCTTCGGTAATCATGGATTATTGGCCGGTTACGGTGCTAAACCCATAGAGGCGGGTTTGGGTCGTGACACTACTAAAGGTTATAGATGCTTAGATCCTCTTTCTGGCAAAATCTTTATTTCTCGGCATGTCTTGTTTAATGAATCTTGTTTTCCTTTTGCGTCACAACCTCATGCTTCACCTCCTTCCATTTTTTCTTTTTTCTGGTCCACTCTTGTGTCCTAAAAGTCCTCTTCCAATGCACCTCCCACTTTTTTTTCTCCAGCATTTGTTTCTCCCTTTCTTGCTGTGCCTTCCTCTGCTGCTGTGTCTTCTCTTCTAGCTCAGTCTTCCTCTCTTGTTGTGCCTTTCATTCCCATTAATTCTATTTCCATTCATATTCCTTTGCCTCCTCCTTCTTCTACACCTGTTCCATTTTCTTCTAATATCCATCCCATGTGTACCAGATCAAAAGCCTTTGCCCTTATTACTCTTTCTCTTGATCTCTCCCTCACTGAACCAACCTCTGTCCAGCAAGCTTTGCAATCTTGCGTCTGGGTTACTGCTATGACTGAAGAAATTCAGGCTTTACATAAGCAACAAACATGGGTTTTGGTTCCTCTTCCTTCTCATAAAGCCTCTATTGGTTGCAAGTGGGCTTTCCGGATTAAGAAAAATTCTGATGGTTCCATTGCTTTTTATAAAGCCCGCCTTGTGGCTAAAGGATATCTTCAACAAGAAGGCATTGACAAGCACAAAACTTTTAGTCCCGTTGCAAAACAACCTACCATTCGAATTCTTTTATGTCTTGCTCTTCATCATCACTGGCCTATCAAGTAGATGGATATATCCAATGCTTTTCTTCATGGTACTTTGGAGGAGGAAGTTTATATGGATCAGCCTCCGGGTTTCATTGATGCCTCTTTTCCCTCTGATGTTTGTAAGCTCCAGAAAGCCTTGTATGGTCTCAAACAAGCTCCTCGCACTTGGTTTTCCATTTTCTCCAAATTTTTGCTCAGTCAAGGCTTTTGTTTGAGTCATTCTGACTCTTCTCTGTTTGTTCGCAAGACTTCTTCCACTATTACTATTATTCTCATCTATGTCAATGACATCCTCTTTACTAGTAGTGATTCCTGCTTCATTGCATCTCTTCTTCAACAGATGTATTTGGCCTTCTCCATGAAAGTGTTAGGCTCTCTTTCTTACTTCCTGGGTATTTCTGTTCAGACTTACTCTCATGGTCTTTTCTTATCTTAAAAAAAATATGCTGGGAAACTCCTCCTTAAAGCTGGTTTAGTGGATTGCAAACCTTGTTTTACTCCACTTGCTGTTCATCCTTCTATAACTCCTACTGATACCTTACCTTTTTCTCAACCATCATTTTACAGAAGTCTAATTGGAGGCCTCCAGTATTTAACCATTACTCGACTTGATTTGGGTTTGGCTATCAATCAGGCTTGCCAACATATGCAAGCCCCTACTAATGGTCATTTTGCTCAGGTCAAGCGCCTGCTTCGCTATGTTAAGGGCACTTTACATTATGGTCTTTCTTTTAGCCTTGGCCCTTTTTTTCTTCAAGCCTTTACTGATTCAAATTGGGCTAGTGACGGCTTGGATCGGTGCTCCATATCTGGTTTTTGTGTATATCTTGGTCCTAATCTACTTTCTTGGTCTGCTAAGAAGCAACCAACTGTCTCTTGCTCATCCATTGAGGCAGAGTACCGGTCCATGGCCTATACAACCGCTGAACTCTGTTGGATACAATAGCTTCTTTCTGATCTCTCTATTTCTTGTTCCTACACACCTCTTCTTTGGTGTGATGATGTGTCTGCTATGGCCCTCGCCATTAATCCCATTTTTCATTCTCGGTCGAAACACATTAAAGTTGATTGCCACTTCATTCGGGAACGGGTCTCTTCCAAATAACTTGCCTTGTCTTACATTCCCACCTCTGACCAGGTAGCTGATATTTTTAATAAGCTTTTGCCTTCGTCTCAGTTTTAATATCTGAAAGACAAACTCTTGGTGCTTCTTTGCCCTATTCGGTTGAGGGAGGGTGATAAGAGTGTTGAAGAAACCTGTCACACGGCTTCAACTGATCAGATAGACCAGCCACAGCTACTGCCACAGTTACAACAAAGGCATTAGGATAAGCAAGTGCAGAATGTGAAAGACAAGCCACCTGATCAAAGATAGATAGATACAAGTATAGATACAAAGTGTTGTAATGGAAAGTGGTTAGCCGTGTAATAAGTTAGTTAGTTAGTTAGAACAGATTGTAGTTAATGCCTCTCATTATGATGTGATGAAATAATATCTTCATTTCTTGTTATTTCTTCTGTGACCTCGACAGAAGGGTCTCCTATCTACAAAATTCAATGTTAAAGAGATATTCATGTTACAGACTATCAAAATCCAAAATCAGCTTGCTTAATAAGAGCAACAACGCAGACACACCTTCTGTGGCAGATCATTGTCAGGTTCCACAATTTCACCTTCAAACTCGAGATCAGATTCAACTATCTCACTTTCTTCCTGCTCTTCAACTATTCCATGTGGTTAGGCTCTTCCTTATTGTCCTCCAAAGCCTCGTCACTCTCTTTCACAACATAAGGCTTCTGTAATCATATTCATTAAACAAAACATTAAGACTCCCAAAATTTTAAATTGATTGACAGTTCCCAGGTCGCAAAAAACAACCTAAACTATATATTTTCCCTTTGGTAAATTAGATGAGAAAAACAAAATGACAAGAACATGATTTCTCATCTAGGTCAGGAGGAAAAAAAAAAAAACTCTTTCTCACCACGTGTAATTTTATTTTAAATTTTTGTATTTAGATGGAAAAATTAGATATTTTGAAGAAAAAAAAAAACAATTATAAAGCAACTTTGGTTTCTCACCAAATCTCACCAATTTTTGGTGAGAAACAAAAAATGAATTTAAATAGAGTTCTTCTCACCATTTCTCACCTCTTCAGTCAGCCAAACAATGTGATGAGAGTTTTTTTCTCTCTCTATTTTTATTATTTTTACTCACCAAAGAATGCTGCTTTCACTCATTTTCCTACATTTTCTTAGCAGCCAAATGGATTATATGTATATATATATATATATAGAGAGAGAGAGAGAGAGAGAGAGAGAGGGAGATGGTTGCAGAAGTATCGATTTGTTATGAGGGCACTCTCCATGAGGAAGCTTACAACTGAGGTTGAAACAAATCAAAACCACACGAAAATCAAATTCAACAGTAAGGCATTTTTACACACATCATATATAAGCATATAAACCAAGACAATGAAGTATTGAAATGGGTTCGACTGAGAGCGAGATTGAAAGAATAAATCAACTGAATCAAACATATAAACCAACTGAATCAAGTATAAATCAAGCATATAAAACCCTAAAGCCACAATCAGAAAAGGAGAAAACAGAGTAAGGGGGGGGGGAGAGAGAGAGAGAGAGAGAGAGAGAAAACGAGAAAGAGAGAAAGAGAGAGACACTGTGAGACTGTGAGCGAGAGAGAGATCGATAGACAAACACACTAAGAGCGAGAGAGCGAGCGAGGGAGAGAGAGATAGACAGACAAACACACGAAGATCAAAAGAGCGAACGAGGGAGAGAGAGAGAACCTGTGATCTGCGGCTGTGCAGGTGGTGCTTTGCGATGGTGGTGATGGCCGTGGCCGTGGCAATGTCTTCCGTACGATGGGCTGCGGTGAGGTGTTTGTCTCTTCGGTTTGGTGTCTGATTGTGAGGTTTGAATGTTGTTGTGTGTAACAGAGAAAGAGGCGGGCAACAATAAAAGAGTTCGCGCGTGTGCCCTAAAAAATTTGAAGATTTAGTGACTAAATGAAATTTTGGTCGGCAAAAGTGTTATTATTGGCGACTATCCTATTTGGTAGCCACAGACAAATAAATAGCGACTATTTTATTGGTTGCCAAAAGTATATTTGGCGACTAAATCTCCATTTGGTCGGAAAAAATTAGTATTTGTCCACTAAAATTTTTAGACACTAAAGATTAACCAAAAAATATACCTGGTTTTTGGCTACTAACATTTATTTTATAGGCAAAAATTCATATACAACGACTAAAAAAAAATTAGTAGCCTAAAATTGAGACTAATGGCCACTAATAAATATTTTAGTTGCTAAAAGTGTCACTTTTGTCGACAAAAAAGTAATTTAGTCGCCAATAAATTGTTAGCAATGGCATATTATATTATTATCTAAGTTATTGGTTTGTAATTGTTCTATGTCCTCAGGGCTCATTTTGTAATTGTCTAATCTTGTAAACCCTAATATTCATTTATAAATAGGGGATGATATCTTATCAAACCCTAAGCTGGTTACTCAAGCTTCATGGTATCAAAGCTTCACCTCTAGGGTTTCGGCACACCCTCACTCTAGGGTTCGAAACTTACCTCGGTGGATCATCTGCTGGGTCGATCTTCAGCTTGTCGATCGTCACTCAGCCGCTTTCCTGTCGCCTTCTGACTCAGCCGTCCCCAGCTCGTTGATCTCTGCTTCGTCTTTATCCTTAGTCAGTTCGTCTTCATCCTCGATCCCTGCTTCGTCTTCATCCTCAGTTGCTGTCGTCACTCTGCTCATCAGTTTGTCACTTGTCAGTTCGTCGCTCGTCTTCTCCTCAGCCTTCGTCGACCGTCGACCTCACTGGTATACCCTCATACCCTCATACGCTCATACCCTCATACGCCTCCCTGTTTGGTATGATATACACCGTACCAATACATATATATAAATAAATAAATAAATATATATATATATATATATATTAAAAAAAACAAAAAAAATAGGAAAAAAAAACAAAAAAACAAAAAAACAAAAAAACAAAAAACAAAAAAACAAAAAAATGATTTCTTAATTTTGTTATGCCTTTATAGTGGTCATTGTGCCTGTTCTTTCACCACCACCTTCTGGGTTTGTGATTACCACTAGTTTTGTTGCGGGTTCGGTAGTATAATATCATGACAAATTCCACCAGTGTGTCCCCTTCTTCTCAAATACCGAGGAGTGAGAGTCCCATTATACCTACTACCATGACTGAGAACCCCAACCCTAATCTGAAAATCACCACCTCTCTATTTAATGGTCAAAACTACCTAGCATGGTCTCAAAGTTTAACTACGTTTTTGAAGAGCAGAGGGAAGATGGGGTCTGTTGATGGTAGGATACAGGCACCTAGTACCACTGACTCGGGTTATGACCAATGGGAGATTACCAACTTTTTGATTATGGGTTGGCTTATCCATTCGATGGTTCCAGAACTTGGTGAGGGCTACTTGTTTATGGAGACTGCCCAGGATGTTTGGGATGTTGTGGCTGCCACCTATTCCCACAAAGGGAATTTCTCACAAGCATTTGAGTTGCGCCGCTCTATTAAGAGCTCACTTTAGGGGGAGCAGACTGTTCTTCAGTACTTCACTTTCCTCACGAACGGCTAGAAATGCCTTGACCACTTGCAAGACTATAAGCCTGTTTGCCCTGCTGATTCTGTCGGGTACAAGAAGTTTATCGCACAGAAACTAGTCTTTAAATTTCTGCCAAGCCTAAATGTGGAGTATGACCCAGTTAGGGGTCGAGTTCTGGGTATGGACACTCTTCCTTCACTTCAGGAGGCATTTGCCTATGTACAGAATGAGGAGAGCCGCCGGTCTGCTATGATGTCCCCTGTCTCTACTGACCGCTCAGCATTACTGTCTACTCCTCGAAATGGCCTCAGCCTAACTCCCATTCCTCCGTCTGCTGCTAAGGAGTCTGTATTCTATGATTATTGCAAGAAGCCGCGGCATACTCGTGAGACGTGTTGGAAGCTTCATGAGACTCCATTCGGGAGTCGAGGTGATCTGTCTGGTTCTCGACGAGGTCGGTCCGGCCAGTCTAGAGGATGTGGTTCCTATTCCCGGGCTCATCAGTCCAGTGCTGTTGATACACTTGATTCTAATTCTGCCTCTGTTGGCCAAGCTTCTGATGCTGAGCTGGAGGATGCTTTGCGCCAATTATTGGACCGTCGGTCTTCTACTGCTCTCAGTACAACTTCCTCGTCCTTTGTCCGCTCAGGTAACTTAGCCTCTTCTCCTTGTGTTTTCCTGTGTCATAAGTCTTTGCCTTGGATTATTGATTCCGGTGTCTCAGATCATATGTCTGGCTCCTCTGATCTTTTCTCTGTTTATAAGCCCTCTTCAGGTCAGGACAAAGTTAGGATTGCAGATGGTACTGTTTCTTCCATTTCTAGAAAAGGTTTAGTCCAAGTCACTCCTACCATACATCTATCTTTTGTTCTCCATATTCCCAATTTTTCTGTTAATCTGTTATCCTTGAGTCGTCTTACCCAGGATTTGAATTGTAGTGTGACATTTTTTTCCTGATCATTGTCTTTTTCAGGACCTTGTCATGAAGAGGACGATTGGCAATGGTAGTGCAGAAAATGGTCTCTACTTCCTGGATCAATCGAACAAACTTGCTTATTCTTCCACCACGTCTTCTACTACCCACGCCGATTTATGGCTGTGGTATCAGCGTCTTGGGCATCCTTCATTTTATTTACTTAAGCATTTATTTCCATTTGATTTTGCAAATCATCATGTGTCTGACTTTCTTTGTGAGTCTTGTCAACTTGGAAAACAACACAGAGCTTCTTTTGCTCCCAGTTTGAATAAAAGTTTAGTTTCTTTTTCATTAATTCATTCTGATGTTTGGGGTCCCTCTCGTGTTATGTCTGTGAAAGGTCATTAATGGTTTGTTACATTTATTAATGATTTTTCTCGTACTACTTGGGTGTATCTCATGAAAGATAAGAGTGAGGTTTTCTTTGTGTTTCGCGATTTTCATAAGATGATTTGTACTTAGTTTGGGGCCACTGTCAAACTATTTCATTCTAATAATGGCGGTGAATACATAGATTCTGGGTTAGGATAATATTTCTCTACTCATGGCATTATCCATCAAACCTCTTGCACCAATACCTCTCAACAAAATGGGGTGGCGGAACGCAAGAATCGACATCTTCTTGACATGGCTCGGTGCATGTGTTTTTCTATGAATGTGCCTCGGCCCTATTGGGGTGACGCTGTTCTCACCGCTGCCCATCTTATTAATCGTCTCCCTACCCAGGTCTTGCAAAAACAAGCTCCTCTTCATGTCCTTCTAGGTTCCTAGTCCTTGTTTTCTATTCCTCTCAAAATATTTGGTTGTGTCTGTTTTGTTCATAATTACTCTTCTTTTCGTGGTAAGTTGGACCCTCGCTCCCTCAAGTGTGTTTTCCTTGGTTACTCTCCTACTCAAAAGGGGTATAAATGTTACCACATTCCTTCTCGTAAGTGGTTTGTGTCCATGGATGTTACTTTCTTTGAGTCCCAGTCCTATTTCTTGTCATCTCCGGTGTCCCCGTTCTCATTTCCGGGGGAGCCTTGGTGTGAAGTGAGTCCTGTGCTGAGTCCTGTGCTTCCTATGGTGGACCCAGTTGTTCTTGCACCACCCTCTTCTACTGTGCTTCCTATGGTAGAACCAGTTGTTCTTGCACCACTCTCTTCTACTGGGACTATAGAACCTAATGTCACTAAGGATAAGGACGGGCATGTTTATGTCCGGGACATAGACAGACAACAAGTTAACTGGATACAAGGGACCACTTCTGCTCCTCCATTGCCATCTCCTACTTCTGATGAGAGTCTAGGTAACTTTGAATCTCTTGAGTCCATTGATCTTGATGTTCCTATTGCCAAGAGAAAGGGTGTGAGATCTTGTACTCAACATCCTATCTCACATTTTGTATCCTACTCTCATTTGTCATCCTCATATAGAGCGTTTGTGTCCAATATTTCCTCTGTTCGCATTCCTAACCATTTTCAAGATGCTCTTACTACCTCTAAGTGAAAACTAGCCATGATTGAGGAAATGAAAGCACTTAGGAAGAATGACACTTGGGAATTGACTGAGTTACCTACGGGCAAACGACCTGTGGGATGTAAATGGGTATATACTGTGAAACACAAAGCAGATGGGTCTATTGAGCGTTACAAGGCAAGACTTGTGGCAAAAGGGTTTACTCAGACATATGGTATTGATTATCAGGAGACCGTCGCACTCGTGGCTAAAATGAATTCAGTCAAAGTACTTCTCTCTCTAGCAGCTAATTTAGATTGGTCGCTTTATCAGTTTGATGTCAAGAATGCCTTTCTCCATGGTGATCTCGAAGAAGAGGTATATATGGACATTCCTCCTGGTTTTGAGGATCATCAGACAAAAGGCAAAGTATGCAAGCTTCGGAAGTCATTATATGGTCTCAAACAGTCTCCAAGGACTTGGTTTGAGAGATTCACTTAGGCTATGTTTAAATATGACTTCAAATAGAGTCAGGCAGATCACACCTTGTTTGTGAAACATTTCTCACATGGTAAGACTACAACACTTATTGTTTATGTAGATGACATAGTTTTTACGGGCAATGATAGTGGGGAAATACCTTTATTGAAGAAATATTTAGCTAGTGAGTTTGAAATCAAAGACTTGGGAAGCTTGAAGTATTTTCTGGGAATTGAAGTTGCTCGCTCGAAAAATGAGATATTTATCTCACAGAGAAAATACGTGCTTGACCTGTTGAAGGAAACTGGGATGCTTGGCTGCAAGGCATGTACCACTCCACTGGAACCCAATTAGAAATTGGGGGATGATGAAGGAGGAGAAGCTGTTGATAGGGGGAGCTATCAGCGATTAGTGGATAAGCTCATTTACCTATCTCACTCCCGTCTTGATATTACTGTTGCTGTCAGTGTGGTTAGTCAGTTTATGCATGCTCCTCATCAGATTCATTTTGAGGCTGTCATGAGAATTTTGAGGTACTTGAAGTTTGCTCTTGGTAAGGGTCTTTATTTTTCAAAGTATGATCATCTTCGTGTGGAAGCCTATACAGATGCTGACTGGGCTGGGTCAGTAACTGATAGGAGATCGACTTCAGGGTATTGCACCTTTGTTGGAGGTAACCTAGTTACTTGGAGGAGTAAGAAACAGAATGTGGTTGCCAGGTCAAGTGCAGAAGTTGAGTTTAGAGCTATGGCACAAGGTGTGTGTGAACTTTTATGGATCAAGTTATTGTTGAGTGATCTAGGTATTGATCAGACGGACTCCATGCGGTTATACTGTGACAATAAGGCCGCCATCAACATTGCTCACAATCCGGTTCAACATGACAGGACAAAACATGTTGAGATTGATCGCCACTTCATTAAGGAGAAACTCACTAGTGGTACCATTTGTACTCTTTTTGTCCAGTCTGGTGAACAACTTGCTGATATTCTCACCAAGGGGGTTGGGAATAAACCATTTCATGACATATTAGGCAAGCTGGGCATGAGAGATATCTTCGCACCAGCTTGAGTGGGAGTGTTAGCAATGGCATATTATATTATTATCTAAGTTATTGGTTTGTAATTGTTCTATGCCCTCAGGGCTTATCTTGTAATTGTCTCATCTTGTAAACCCTAATCTTCATTTATAAATAGGGGATGATATCTTATCAAACCCTAAGCTGGTTACTCAAGCTTCATAAATAATATTTCTCGACTAAAACAGTTGTAGTAGCTAAAAATTGTACCAACGCCGACAAATACATATTTTTGTCGCCCAAAGTGACATTTTTGGCGTCTAAATTTTATTTAGTCGCCAAAAGTAATCGCTAAATGTGCAAATTCTTGTAATGTTATGTGCAAGGCAAATCCGAGCAGAATTTCAAGTTATAACTGATTAAGTTAGACCAACCATTAGAGTTACAACACCAACTAATTGAATCATAACTTTAAAGCCAAATGTACAAATTCTTGTGATGTTATGTGCAAGGCAAATCTGAGCACAATTGCAAGTTATAATTGATTAAGTTAGACCAACCATTAGAGTTACAACACCAACAAAGACCAACCATTAGAGTTACAACACCAACTAATTGAATCATAACTTTAAACAATTAGAATAATTGTATTTTAATTACGCACCTCATCATAACCAGAGGGTGAGCATTATGTAAACTCTTTAAAAGAATGCATACTGTAAATTTTATTATATTCCTATGTTAAAATAGAAAATACCATATAAAGTAATAAATCTTACACTTTTTTTACTAAGTGGTATGTCATATAATAATGAAAAATTAAATATCACCTCAATGATATTATAAATGTCACATGAAATTCTAAAATGAAAAGCATCACTCACTTCAAAGATATGGCACAATGAATATCTTTTAATATAATTTTTTTTTTTAAAATTTGTACAATCGTAAAAATGATCACACAGATGGTGCATTTTGTCACATAAATTAAGAAAAGACAAGCAGGCTCTCATGATTCATGAATTTAAAAAAAAAAAAAAAATTATGGTGACATATGGTTCCGCAGTTGTAAAATATCCTATAAAAAATTGGGAAAAAGAAAAAGAAGAAGAAGGGGGAAGTGATGGTAATCAATAAAAATGGAGGACGGAGCCTTCGTAGATAGTGGTCAACTGGATCCTGAAGGAGCGAACAGCAACCTTAGCCCCGCCTGAGTATCTGTATCTGTTCTTCTGCCGCTGCTTACTCCGGATCCTCATGCTCTTCTTCTCAGAAACAGAGCTTGATAATACTCCTCCTCCTCCTGCTACTCCTAGTGCTTCTTCTGGATAAGACTTATCTGAGAAGCCCTTCAATTCATCACGGTCCTCCTCCACCATCTCATAATAATAATAATGTTTACCATCAGAATTAGAAGATGAAGGAACTCTCTGATGATGATTATCACGCTTACTCGTACTCGTACTTTTACTCGTACTAGTATTATTGTTAATGTTGACTTCTTCTAAGAAGAAGGGGGAAATTCTAGCCATGTTGTTTTGGCGGGCACGAGCACGGTGGTGGCGACCTTGACGGATAGAGGAGGAGGAGGAGGAGGAGGAGGAGGAGGAGGGTTTGTTATAAGAAGAAGAATTGGATGATGATTTATGGAGGGAGTGGGAGAGGGCGAGGCTGGCCTTGGCGGCCAAAGCGGCCATGTCGGAGGCAGTAATTGGGTACTGAAGCTTAGAAGCGGGGAGGACGAAGTAGAGCTGATCCGGCTGAAGTTGGTATTCCCCATTCAAAGCTTGGATATATTCATCGTAGTACAAGAGGTCTGAGCTGCACACGAAGAATTTCGCCGAATTCCAATTGAAATTTGAATTGGAATTCGAGGTAGATGGCAATGACGACGACGGTGTTGGTGGAAGGGTTGGAAATTCCATGTGGAGGACTTGAGAAACAGTCACGGGAACTGTATATTTGTGCAGATCGCCATTAGCCGATACCACATTACTAGTTGGAAGCCCACTCCCACTCCCACGCTCTGAATCTGCTTCTTCTATTGAAGACAAACAACCACCCATTTTTATTTTAATTTATTTATATTTTGTTGTTGTTGTTGTTGTTGTTGTTGAGTCTAGACAAGAAGGAGGAGAAGGAAAAATGATGGTAATAATGAAGGAAGGGAGCGAGTGAGGGAGAGAGGGAGGAAATGAGGCGTTTGAGTTGAGTGGTTTGTTGAGGGACGGAATTTATTAGAAATTAAGGAAAGTGTGAGGAGAGACGGGAATGAGCTAAGCGATCTCGTCACTCTCATAAACGCACGCATCAACCAACGACTCTTCACTTGTATATCTCTCTCTCTCTCTCTCTCTCTCTCTCTCACACACACACACACACACAGAGTAGGATACCGAGTCTATCACAGCTAAGCAGTGACAACTTAATATGTTTTTTTTAATATTTTAACTAAAATATGATAAAAAAAATTAATATATTTGAGATAATTTTTTACTAAAAGATATATATAAAGTAGAGAGAAAATGAAATTTTTGACTTTTTGATATAAGTTATAGACTTTTTAATTTTTTTAATAACTTTTTGACTGTTAAACTAAAACAATGACTTGCCAAACGAGGCCTAGTTGAGATTGTGCGGTTATACTTTGATACATTTTACATTTTCTCTTCCTTTATTTGATATAATTCATTTGTATGGATAGCAATCATCATCAATAAAGGGCTACTTTTTGCTGTTCAAAAAAAATAAAAATAAAATAAGTTAACAATGAAAAGTCTACAAATTCACACATATCTATCTAAAAATTTTTGAGTGAGTAAGCGTTTGTCACGGATTTTAAAACTAAAATAAATTATAATTAACTTGTGTAAAGTACCATA